GTCCACTGGGCCTCCTGCAGGCAGGCTGCTGCCACAAAGCAGCCTCTGTCTACGAGGGCCCAGGCGAGCTCGGCTGCCTTCCCTTGTCAACTAATCAAGTAGTCAAAAATTCTATCGACTGCTCAATTAGGGATGTTAAGATGCAGTTAACTGGCTAACAGATACACTTTGATGTAAGCCAATTGCTTGTAAGCGCCAATAATGTGTAATATTTCTGGCTATTACCTTTCAAGTAAGGTTTTCCACGTTTTACAAACAGAAACCATTACTTACTTATAAAATATCTTTCCCCAGAATGTACTTTAGAATGTCAATTCTCAGAATTTCAGGAATTTGACATTTTGAATGAAACGTTTTACCTTTTTAAAATGCTAGAAATATTCTAAGTAAGAGAAGCCAATGCCAAAAGACAGGGCATTTTGTACAAGCCATTAATTCCGTGATATCATGGGAAAGGGAACGAAAGGGACACAAGCAGAGAAGATAGGATAAATTAAGTTGCTTCATAAAAATGAACACAAACACCCAAGAATCATTAAAAGATAAGTTACTTTATATTTCTGTATTAGTGAGCAAAAGAATTCACGACGGTTTGAACCTCTGTGGTCCTGCTGGCAGAGCCCCAGTAGCAGAGGTTGCTGGAAGTCAAGTCTGCTGACCAGGCGTCTGGGGCAGTGAAGCACCAGAACCCACAGTCAGGGGGCTGGAGCTCATCAGCTACGGTGCCGGAAGAGTTTCTGGAGGTCATGGGAGTGGAGGTTTCAGGCTGCCACAGCCAGGGGGACAAAGGTAGCAGAGTGCAGTAGAGGAGCTGGTGCACCCCCCAGACATCCCTTGGTCTGGCCAATTCCCTTGTCCAGGACTGGTCAGGTCCTGAGTGTGCCAGACAAGGAGGCCCAACCTGTATGAAGTGTTTCACTATTTTTAAGCTGTTCTTTCAGTAAGAACAATCATATGAAACAGGACAGTTTATAAAGGCACATTAAATACTGAGCCTCCGCCACTCCTTTAAAGAATTCAGTTAATGTTCCATAACCTCTACGTGCATCTCTCTCACCATCTGCAAATTGTCCTTAAAGTGCACTGTGCAAGAGACTGCAATATAGCAGTAAAAAGAACTCATTAAGAGGTCTGGAAATTGCTAATCCAGTGGTATGATTCTAAAGGTGAGAGCATGTGGCAAGAGAGTGGCTTTAAAAAAAAGATTCAAATAAAAGGCTTAGACTAAATGGATTCAGTTCTCTTCAGTAAACACAGACAATGCAACTTTTACTTTGTCAAACAGAGCAGTAAAAACAACAACAAAAAAAGACACACCTCCTTCTTCATCCGGTAATACTCATCAATGGCATACTGGTATTTTGGTGTACTTATGCCCAATACAGATGCAATCTTTTCCCCAAGGAAATCACATACTAAAAATAAAACAGCAACACCTTTACATTAATTCTTTAGATTTCATTTTCAGAGTTTTAGGAACAGTTCTACTTTGAAAGATAGCTTATTCAAAAAGATCATCGTGTCATCGATCATAACTGCTCAATTTAGTGACATTTACTGCTGTTTACACAGGAGGGCCAACCTACATAGGTAAAAAGATGGACTCTGTTACTATGTGTATTGTTTAGTAAGTTCAAATTAGTTCCACTTTCATGTGTGCAATCCTACTGAAAATACTGTGGTTGCATATGAATATCTCAGAGGACAGTTTGGGGAGCAGAACCTTTTAACTTGCAACAATGTGCAAAAAGGAATGAATGCAGCTCAACTTCTGGGGCCCACAGTAAAAAAAAGAATATTCTCTTCGAATAAGCACATGAAATATGGAAAACATAACCAGAACCCTAGAATACAATTTGTACAATAATTTTCAGAGTAGAACTGCACTTAAATGCACAAGTTGGTATTTTAAATGCTGAAGTATAGTACCTTTATATACTGTAATTCATTAGCACATTTAATGTTAAAAATAACTCCAGGTAACTAGTCAAAAATGCAAGAATGAATGACAAAATTGGTAGCTACACAGAAAATTAATATAAGAACCAAATAGTGTGAAAATTTAACTGCAAAGGAAATACTTTTAATTTTATAATTCAGTACTTTTACTTTAAACAGATCCCTAAATAGAACAAAATAAACCTATGTAAAATAATGGCTAAATTACAAGTATTTGTACTAGGAAAGTTAAATATCAGTTAATGGACTAGTCGATTAACCTTGTGAATTCTTATCAGTTATTTGACTATTCTATAGTCCCCGGGGTAGGGCCAGCAGCCAATGCATCCGGCCCCGCTCTCAAGGAGGCCCCTGCCACTGTGCGGGGATGCCACATGGGAGCTGGTCCTCAGAGACCAGCTGCCTGTTTCTCACGCCGCCTCCGATATGTAGGCAGCAGCGCAGGGTGGCAGTAGCTCCTGTCTGGGGCGCGGAGGAAGGGGATCTGAGCTCCCGGACCCAGTGCAAGCTGGAACTGAGCTGGACTGCTTGCATGCCTGGCTCCTGATACACTTTAAATGCAGAGCCGCAGCTGGGATGTGTCCCGGACTCGGCACAAACCAGGACTGAGCCAGGCTGCTGGCCAGATTACTAAAACATTTACTGGCGGGGAGGGGAGGGAAGGGAGAGGAAATGCACGTAGTTTACAGCATTAATCTATTGACTAAACTATTACATCCCTAATTTGTACTGAGTGATGTTTGCCACCAGGACACAGAAGTTACTCACCTTGTGCAATACGTATGGTTCTTGTGTCCCCATGGATGCTCCACTGTAGATGCTAGGTCACCCCGGCACCGCAGACTAGAGTTTTGCATGCAGCAGCCGGTTGAGCTGCACATGCTCACTAGGCACCTCACACCATTCACGCCTATTTCGCGCAAGCGACCCGACCCCTTAGTTCCTCATGTACACCCAAGTATCTAGATAGAAAATAGAGATACACCACCAAAGAAAGAGGGGAGGAGAGTGGGTAGTGGAGCACCCAGAGGGACACACATCTCAAAGAACTGTCGTTACTGCACAAGGTAAGTAACTTACTTTTCTTCTTCAAGTGATGTCCCAGTGGTGCCCTACTGTAGGTGACTTTGTAGCAGTTGTGAGTTATAAGCTGGACATTCAGCTTTGAAGCCACCTGGTGTCGACAGTGGACAATACTGCTGAGGCTACTGAGGAATCATATAGCAGTTTGGCAAATGTCCCTGTATGAGACACCTTGTAGAAGGCCGTGGAGGTATAGACAGCTCTTGTGGAATGACCTCTAGGAGCTGAAAGTTTTTCCTTGTAAGGTGTAACATTATGTGATGCAGGCTACAATAGTTTTGGATATACATTGTGAGGAAAGTGGCTCGCCCTTAAATCAGTTGGCTACTGAGACGAATAATTGCTGTGAAGAGTGGAAGACAAGGGCTCTATAAACATCTAAAGTATGGAGCAGGGCATCCCTTGAAGAAGGGTATCCTTTGAAGACAAGTGTGATTTAGGGTAAAACGTCTGGAGCACAATCAGCTCATTGACGTGGAAGTCTGATGAGACCTTTGGTAGGAAAGATGGGTGAGTATGTAAAGTTATGGAGTCTTTAGTAAAAACTGTGTATCATGGAGCTGCAGTAAGGGCAGCAAGATCACTAACTCTGTGTACGGCTGTTATTGCAAGGAGGAACAACACCTTGGCTGTCATAATGGGTAGGGGACAGGTTACCAGAGGTTCGAATGGAGGTCCAGCCAACGTGTCAAGGACTAGTTAAAGATTTCATGAAGGTGGCAGACATCTCCATGGTGGAGATAAGTTATGGAGGCCCTTCAAAAATCATCTAGTTACTGGATAAGTAAAAATAGTGTATCCCTGCAGTGGTGGACTGAGTTAATTAATACCAGCTAAGTGCAATCTGAGAGAGGAGAGGGACAAGTTGGACTGTTTGAGGTCAAACATGTAGTCTAAGATGAGAGGAAGTAGAACCTCGTACATGTCCATCTGCTTTCGTTCACACCAAGCAGAGAATCTCTTCCATTTATGAAGGTAGGTGGTACGATTGGTAGCACATCTGCTGTGAAGGAGGACTCTTTAATCTATAAGAACATCGCATTTCAGCATCTTGAAACCAGCAAATGGAGGCTTTGCAGGTTCAGGTGCAGAAGAGCACCTCCGCGTTGAGTCAAGAGATCTGAGTGACAATGAAGTGGACAAGGGGGGTTGAAGAGACATTTGAAACAGAAAGAGATACCAAATCTGTCTGGGCCATACAGGAGCTAGGAGGATTACCCGGGCATGGTCCCTCCTGATCTTGTTGAGGGTTCTCAAGATGAGTGGAATTGGGGGAAAGGAATAAGGAAAGTATCCCTAAAAGCTCCCCGTCCTATGCCTGCTCTGGAACAATAGTTGCGACGTACTGTGGTGTTGTGGGTAGCGAACAGGTCAACTTGAGGGAATCCCCGCATATGGAAGATAGGCCTGATGATGTGGGGATTGATCTGCCACTCATGGTCTGTATTGCCACTGTCTGCTCAGTAAGTGTGCAGGGATGTTGTGGATGCCGGGCAGGTACACCACCATTAGCGTTATGTTGTTGGCAATGCACCAATTCCAAAGGCGGACTGCTTCAGCACACAATAAAGGGGATCGAGCTCTGCCCTGATGATTTATGTAATACACTGTCGATACACTGTGCAAATTCTGACCATACAATTCACTTTGTGTTCAAAAGCGTTTGCAGGCATTGAAGACTTCCCTAAACTCCAGAATGTTTGTTTAAAGTTCTCTCACATTCGGACCAGCAGCCTTGGCAGAAAAACTGGCTAGGTGGGCTCCCCCAACCTGTCACTGAAGCATCGGTTGCACAGATGGTTGAGCACATTGGAAAAAAACCCCTGCCAGTAGGTTGGTGGGACTGGTCCACCACTTGAGGGAGGCAAGGACCTTGGAAGGAGGAGACACAATTCTGTGGACTTGATGATTTGACAGGATGTAAACGGAGGCCTGCCAGTGTCGAAGACACCTCATATGTAATCGGGCATTTTGGACTACATAGGTAGTGGCAGCCATGTGGCCCATAAGTCGTAGGCATATAAAGACCGTGACTGGAGATCTGATCAGTATGGTAAATATGGTGATGAGATCCTGAATCACTTGGAATCTCGGAGTCGGTAAGTAGGCACAGGCCCAAGTGGAGTCTAGGTGGGCACCGATGGATTCTAGGAATTGAGTCAGCTGGAGAATAGACTTTTGGTCGCTGATAAGACAATCTAAGGACTAAAATAGGTCTTTTGTTGTAGATATCATATGAAGGGTCTCCTCTGGAGATGTCCCTTTTATAAGGCAATCATCAATGTAGGGGAAGATAACTATGCCCTGATGACAAAGAAAACGGCAATAACCGCTAGTGTCTTGGAAAAAACGTGATGAGCTGAAGACAGGCTGAATGGTAGTACATGGTATTGGAAATGCTTGGATGCAATGATGAAACGGCGGAATCGTCTGTGAAAAGGTTGTGTGGTCACATGAAAGCAAGCATCTTGCATATCAAGAGCTGAAAACCACTCTCCTTTGTCCCGTGCTGGAATAATGGCTGCTAACGTGATCATCTGGATTCACATTTTTTAAGGTATTTGTTGAGCTTTCATAGGTCTAGGATAGGTCTCTGTCCTCCAGTGCATTTCTTCATAAGGAAGTAATTGGAGTAGAACCCCTTGCCTTTCAATTGGTCAGGCACTCTCTTGATAGCTTCAATGGCCAAGAGATGATAAACCTCTTTCTTACAGACCTAATTATCTTTGGCTAGAAAAAAAACTATTTTACACTGAAACTAAAATTCTTATCTGTCTGGTTGCACACCAAAATATTTATTTATTAAACCAATCAGGATGTGTGTCACAACCATTAAGCATTATGCAAGTATCTTTAATTCTAGCTTGGTTTTGTAAGCCAACCAATTGACCAAGTGCCACACACAACTAGAAGATTATACACATTTCTTCCTGGGAAGACAGGTTGATTAAGTCTCACAATTTTCCTGAACAAAAGTTTCCTTAGCAAGATACAGAAAAATTAGTATTTAGCAAAAGGGAGATTTTGGTTCATTTATTCATTACATCTCTTTCTTTTCTCACAGTTGTAAAATGAAGTAACTTGGCACTGAAGAGATGGACAGTTACACCACAACCAAAATATAGATATATGACAGACTTAAGGAATGTTAATATTCTTTGGAGTAGTTTACTTTAAAAAGTACTTAAACCAATACCTGATAAGGTTGACGTGGCAACTTTCAGCATATGAAACCAAAAATAGGGTCCCCAGGCAAGCGTAGTCTGTAATGAAAAAAATTAATAAGAGTAGCACTATAACCATAAAATTGTGGCACATAATACACAGGTGCAGTTACTTACAAAGGGCATGGCTCCAGAAGAGAAAACTGACATTGTCTCTCCACCAAGAGTTTGTCAACATTCAGCTCAGTGCTTTGGTTTTAAGGAAGTTATACCAATACTGGTTTTCAGTCTTTAAAGCCTGGTGTCTCTATATGGACTATATTGCTAGGTGTCCATGCCATGGATGTCTTATTGCCTATAAAATACAGGACTATGTAGCACTTTAAAGACTAGCAAGATGGTTTATTAGATGATGAGCTTTCGTGGGCCAGACCCACTTCCTCAGATCAAATAGTGGAAGAAAACAGTCACAACCATATATACCAAAGGATACAGTTAAAAAAATGAACACATATGAAAAGGACAAATCACATTTCAGAACAGAAGAGGGATGCGGGGGGGGGGGGGAGAAGGAAGGTAAATGCCTGTGAGTTTAGAGACATCCTTTAATCCTCATGGATTGAAGGTTACAGGGATGCTGAAATAGCGCGTCCGTTATTTTGAAAGGTATTTCGAAATGTTAAGACATGGGGTAGCTATTTAGGGATACCGAAATAGCCACACAGTATAGACATATCCTAAGTCTTATACTGCAGAACCCACAGTATGGGATGGCAGCTGGCTCCCCGGGAACCAGCGTGTGCAGGCAGAAGAGTTTTTACCCATAACAGAAACCAATAAAATGATGCTTAAACTCTTACATCCCAACTCAGGACAAATGGATAAACAACACTCTGATAAAGTCACTATCTAGAATCTCAGGAGAATCTGGGGATCCCATAATATTTTGTCTAGGTTTCTAAACTTGCTGAGAACGGTTGAGCATATGGCTCTCGATCACACAATATGTTGGGAGAAGGGAATGGAGAAAAAAATAATTTATAGCCAGTTCTAATGACAATATTGTGAAAAGGAAAATTATATTAACTAGAAAATGTGCGAGAGAGAGAGAGAGAGATTGAGATTATCTTGCCGGATGACAGAATGTTTCTACTGTGCAACAGAATGACGTCATCATGTCATCAGCATCAACAGGCTGTCACAGCAAAGCGAAAGCAGCCGGGAGGGTGGGGGGAAAGCAGATGAGCATGGCAATCACAGGAAGCAGCCCCCTTGTTTTTTGTAAAGAGAAGAACTTCCCTAAATAAAACGTTGAAAAGTTCTAGCTCCTGAATTCAAATGATTTAAAAAAAAAAAAAAAAAAAAAAAAACAGACAGACCTCTCTGTGTGTGCAAAAAAAAAAAAAAAAAACCACAGACAGACCTCTCAGTAGAATGGTCTTCCTGCTGGAAAGTACCAGTAAAATGGTAATTCTTACTCAGACACAACCTGAACCATTTTCCTCTATAAAATAGGATTCCAAAGTTGTCACTATGAAACTTAGAATGCCTGTTGTGACCATTTCCATCACTTCATATTGACTTAAGAACGGCTGAGAACCCTTTTTGTTTACAACACTAGGTTCAATCTCCACTGGAATTTGCAGTCTGTACCATCCAGTTTAAGTTCTTGGTCATTTTGACTATGAATTACACTTATGCAACAATAAAACATGTATCTCTTCCACGACAAGAGTCTTTGACTACTGTGATAAAGATAATTCAACTAATCACCACCTTTACTCTACATCTAGTTTGCATGTAACAATTTTACTGATCACACAAATGAGACTACATGGATGATGCATTACTTAGTCTAACTGCCTAACCTGTGCAAAAGCAAGGAATTTCAGATATTATTTTACAATTATGGAGGTTAAGTCAGTGACAAGTACTGATTAAAACAAAGTGTGAAAATGTACATAGCTATCAAAGGTTTGGAATTAATCTCTATGGTTTTAAAGACAAAGTGCCACAATGACATTTTGTGTATGTATTCAGTTTGCCACATACCAGTGCTTCTCTAATAGTTGCTCTGGTTAACACAAAATCAGCTTTTGTACTACCTGCATCTTTCTGTTGACTGCCAACTGAGAATCCAGACACTGCATTTTTAGCAGGGGTTAGCAGGACACTTTCTATAAGGTGACAAGCATAAGCAAAAAAGCTGCTGTCCTAGCTGCACAAAAACACTCTGTGCTTGTTAAGTAAGTACTCGGTTGGCAGCCATTCTAATGGCAAGTCACTTTTGTGCTTGTTTAGTCCAAGAAGTTAGAAGCAGTGCTGGAAAGGATGTTGCTATAGGTGGTAGTAGTGACTGGTGCCAGCAGAATCCTACAGATAAACAATGTGCTACTTTTAAAAGGCATTTACTCGGTGCACAGGACAAGCCATTTTAGAATGCTGCTGGTTAGCAGTGAGCAAAAAGCTAAAGTATTGCTGTAACATTTAAAAATATCAAAAGAAACGTATCTTTTCAAAGCAACAGGAATGTAATAATGTAGAATCCTTTTAACATGCTATTGAAGCAATGCAAATTCAGATTCAAATTAAACAGTACTTTGAATTCAATGATATGTACATAATATAGTTTACACTGTTGCCACAATACAGGCAGTCCCTGGGTTACATACAAGATAGGGACTGTAGGTTTGTTCTTAAGTTAAATTTGTATGTAAGTCGGAACTGGCGTCCAGATTCAGCCGCTGTTGAAACTGACCAGCAGCAGCTGAATCGGACACACCTGGGGCAGAGCAGCAGGGGTGCTGCTGGTTTGCTCCTCGGCGCTAATGGACCAACCCGGCAGCACCCCAGCTGCTCTACCCCAGGCGTCGGCGAGAAAAGCCTGGACTGCTGGGGGGGGGGGGCCGCGGCGTC